GTTCGTGGAAAATATCCAACGACAGAGTTGCCGAGGCGGACTCCGCGTATGCAAAGCGATCACAGATTTCACGCAGCCGTAGAAATTCAAATTCAACTTTTCGTTAGGAAGTTACAATGCTAAATATGTTTGTATCCAGCAGCCGCCTGCCACCACAACCAGGTAACTACGTAATGCATACTGAACGGTACGTATGCGTCTCGAAATGAAATACGACGTTATAAAGCACTCCGGTAGGAGAAACAGGCGTGTCAGAAACCTAATATAGTTGTATCTCGGCAGAACGCAATAATCGGAGTTTCACGTTCGCATACAAGAATCTTTTATTCGAGGAATGCTTATTATCGGGAAAATATGAAATTTAAGGTGAATTAGGAAATCTATGAGGAGGACTTAACGAGCAAGAGGGTAGTAAATATTTTGTTAGATTTGTTAAAGTTATAGCGACGAGCTTGCAATTGTTTTCAAAATCTGTCGAATTTTCCACCTACGTATGTATATTAAATTTTCCATTAACTTTGTTGATAACGTAAAATTAGTTCTCTGTTTTCGCAACAACAGCCGCCGTAGATATGATTTTTCAATGTGGCGGAATAAAATATAACGAGTAATTATAAAAGCCATAACGAATTCATAATACGTTTACTATATAAAAAGAGTAGGGAAGAAACTATATGAAAAGAGAAATTTATTATAAACTTATTATAAATCTATTCATCCTTGATACGTCGTCGTGTGAATTGAATAGAAAATTTTCAAATAGGTTGGAAATAAGAATAGCACAAGCAATCGCTTATAATTTATCGGAAATTTATGATAAACTTTTTACTCGAACTTCTCCTATGTAGTCAAGCACTATATAAATTTCTATAACCTTACGTTTAACTACGATAGGTTGTCCGGAAAGTATCTTTCTTTCGCGAACGTGTTTTTTACAACAGTGCAGCTTCGTACAAAGGCGAAACCAAGTCTGTGAAATGTCACGGTGTTCATCTGAACGAAACAAAATTCGACAAAATAATATAAAACAACAAACGTTGTGCGTCTATTATTTCCTCGTAAAACGAAAGAAATTTTTCGGACAACCTAATATCCATAGCGCAGACTGTTAACATCATTCGATATCGCTACTTCACAGTAACATCAACTACGAGCGCCAACGTTAACCCGCAATGATATCTTATTCATCTTCGATTTCTGCCTCCCTGTACTTAATCTTCCGCTACGGTACAAGGAGATTGCATAGGGAGATCCTTGCGACGACTCACTGTACTCACGACACTCGGTGTACGATTTGTACGCTTTATCGATCCCCAGCCGATTAAATCAAAAGATTCGAAGGCAATTTACGATGGCTGTTTGCGACAGCAAGTATTTGAAATTCGCTTTTCCAACGCAGACCAAAACAAACGTGATAAAACACAGGACTTATGCCTCGGCTTAACTCTTTCGATTCGCTAATCTCCGAATTCCGTTTCGAGCGACCCAACCACCCACTCTTTTTCTATTATTCTCTCGCGTTGTTGGACATTCTGGTGGTCTTGTTAACTTGGAATTGCTACGATTTTTCATACACACAACACGACGAATTCGTAAAGATTCGACGAAGAAATTTGTAGAAGTTGGTCGAAAATAACGAACGAATAACAACGTGATGACGTGAGTTCAGTTATAGTTCTTGGATTCCAGGTTTGTAGAAACGATTCGTTGAAAGTCAACATTATTTTTTATCCTGACTATTTTTATAGAAAAATATCCCTGTATCTGTTTCCTTCGAATAAAAATATTTAATTCCAATATTATATCTCTCTGCGTTCGTTTCCTTCCAATTGATACACCGAAATACTACATTTTACTACATGCACATTTTTATGATACCGATGATACTCGATAAATATTATTTCTTTCTGTGTAAACTTTCCCTATAAACGTTACTCTTAGAGAAAATTTTATTACGACCAAGTTTTCGGAATTTATTCGTTTATTTCAATGTAACTATGTGAAGAAAGGAAAAAGAAAAGAATGACAAAAGATGGACTATATCGTACAATTCGCTCGGAGAACTTCGTTCGAGAAACTGGCGCAATTTTGTTCGTTACGTTAATCAGAGCTACGAATTCCCTGGAAAAGAAAAGGAAAGACGAAAAAATGAGAAAAGACGACACGTATACCGGTTTTGATTTTCGGAAAAGAGAAGCAATAACATTCCCCGTGAAACAGCCTGTAATCCGGAATAAAAAATGAAATCCTCGGTGGGATTCGAAGGCATTGGCTATTTGTAGCGGTGTTACGCTGAAATCCCTGCAAGTGCGACCTATCTGGTGTATCGGTGGAAGGCTTAGAAATAAATTTAAGAGCTCGAGATTCGAGAACGTCGTACGTCGCCACTCGCAATAGGATATCGCTTTTCTAAACGGATATTTATTGTTACCGCCTTTATTGACAGTTAATAGCGTGACACAGGAAGAAGAAATCTCAAAGATCGACTACGATTTACAATTTTCCAAAGTAATCCTGATTTTCGATCGTTGATCCATCGTTCTCTTCGTATCGCCAATTACAATTATCATCCGTGTTTATTTCTTTTCTATTGTAACCAATTAATTATTCAATTTCGTGCAAAAATAACAAATTGTACTCGATCGTAATATAAGTTCTTCCATACGTAAACGAACAGAATGAGAATCGAAATGGAATAGAATTTAATAAAATCGCGTGAGATGAAAAATCGAGGAACGTCAAGATTGGGACGTTCGAGAAGGATGATAATTCGCATCCAGTTTTCTCTACCGTGGATTTAGTGCGCGTTGCATTTTCGCGTGGTGGACAGAAACGTTGTATGAAATGAAACGTGAAAAACGAGAAGGCTAGAGGAGCTGGGCTAAAAGCATCTAAAACGCTTGGAAAGCCCCGGTGAAGTGGCGTGCTTGATCGAATCAAGTTACAGATCTTCTTTACCTCGCGCCCAATACTCGTAACGAAGAAAAAGAAATCCTTTCGCAACTTTATAAAGTCCCGCTCTTTTCGCTGTCCCTTTCCTTTCACGCCGACGCAACGGTAAATTCCCATATAACAAATCGAACTTGTTAAGACCACAATACGAAATTCGTCGTTTCTCCTCTTTTCTCACGTCCTTTCGATTCTCGTCCTTTCGTAACTCGTTAATCTTACGGAATCCTTTCGGCTGATATCAATTTCTAAGCGTCCATCGTATTTTATTTTCTTGGGCAAATCTTTCGATCGACACGAATTTTCGAAAATTACTTTCTCGAAACGAACAAATCTTTTAATCGCGTTAATACTTTTCGAATAAACGTGCCATCGCTTTATCATAAATACTTTGTAATTCACTTGATTGTTATTTGATCAAAGAAACTATTGTAATTGTCCATTAATTTATGCAACCCACCTATTTTTTACTTTTCTATAATCATCTATTCGTAATCGTGATAATATAGGTTCGACCAATATTTGTCACTAAAATCACCCCGTCATCGTTAAAAATTATTAAGATAATTTATTCGTATCGAAACGCAATAATTTCTACCGACAATCTAATCAACTTTGTAACATTTTATAGAGAAAGAATAAGATAACGTAACTATGGGGGAAAACCGTAATCGCGAGTGAATGTAGAAATTAATAAAGTTTGGATAGCAAACATTTATCATCCGTCGAGTGTTAGTACAAGAACATAAAGTATTTATACACGTGGAGCGGGTTTTATTATCGCAAAATGATCTTATGCGCAGCATAGTTGAGTTATTTCATCATCTTGGACAAGCATGGCCCATAAACGCATCGTAAACTTTCAAACTCGTTGTATAACGAGATGTCAGCTTCCTCGAAGAGAAGTAGGAAATTAAACATAGTCATATCCTGTGGCGAACTTGAATAAAAATAAATTATCTCCATCGTTGGATCCAGCTAATGCTTCGAGAACACATCGATATGCATCGTACAAATTCTCTGAAATTCTTACAACCCACGAAAAATTCTTCAAAATCCACCGAACAAATTTTTATACGGTTGAGCAAAAATTCTTCAAATTCAAAATACTAGCAATTCGAGCGACGAGTTAACTCATCCTCCTCGGTTAACAGCTCGAGTTCCATTTCTTTAATTATATTCGCAGAAATATAAATTTGCATCGACACTCGCACTCTGCATATTATTTCAAACACAGCGGCTACTAAAAGATATTTGTAAACGTCCTTATCTTCCAACGAAGCGTTCTCTTTTTAAATTTTACATTTCATTTCCATAGCACCAAATTGTTTATTGTCAGAATTTCATATTTATGCCGGTGATTATGAAACCGACCAAGTCGAGAATCTAAAAAAACATTTGCTTCCCGCTTATTTTGCGTTACATCCGTTTACGTTACAATAATCTGAAACCATCTTTGGTTGCGTCGTTACACGGAATTCACGCGTCAATCGCAAAACATCAAATACCTCGAGACGAAAAATATATGACTTCATCTATAAGACGATACATTCTGTTCGAATTTGTATGCTACGAAAGCGTAGGCGTTACGAGATTCTAACTAGTAAAAGCACGGAGAATAAAGAATATAAAAAGTATTTTCTAAGGTCAAATTTGAAGTTACAGATTGTGGGTCTAACGTTAAGTACGAGACACGTTGAGCTCGAGTATGGCAAAGTAGACGATAAATAAATATCAAGAGGAATGTAACTGAAAAGTGCGCTCTAACCCGGAGTGGAGGACTATGGAAAAATAAAAGATACCAAGTAACATAAAATTTTTGTAACCGTATAAAAATACTATCGAATCGTACGAAATTTACTATAACATCCGACTCACTAGTACGTAGATACAACGATAAATGTAGAAATGTGTAGGTGTACAAATATCTTTCGTATCCATCGCGTAAGAAATAATTGCGCAAAATCAGAAACGTTGCAGCGTCGATTGACTCGATTTATTTTATACGAGCGAATTTTATCGAACTGTAAGTGAATCGCAGAAGGACTTACCGAAGGAGATGAGGCCGCTGTTCAGCATCGACAGTTTAATCTGGCTGGGAATGGAAGCGAGGCTGTGGCCAGGATTAAGATGACGTTTCCTCGGTGGTTTTTCCGGCGCTCTGGGCGCGCTTCTGCTTCTGTGATGATGATGGTGCTTCCTATGCGAATGTGAATGAGAACCGGCAGCGGTCGAGGTGGCACCGGTACGATCTGAACCGACGCTGCTTAAACCGAGGACGCCACCGCC